TTTTAATAAAAATTTTTACTAATAATTTTAATTTTAATTTTAATTTTGACTTTTATTTTAATTTCGACTTTTATTTTAATTTCGACTTTTATTTTTAATTTCGACCCCCATTTTAATTTTGACTTTATTTTTAATTTCGACTCCTGTTTTTAATTTCGACTTTTATTTTAATTTCGACTTTTATTTTAATTTTGATTTTTATTTTAATTTCGACTTTTATTTTAATTTCGACTTTTATTTTAATTTCGACTTACATTTTAATTTTAAAATATCAAAATTTTGAAATGGTATTTTGGGGTCAATTTCGGGGTATTTATATTTCGGGTTTCGGATCCCAAAATAATTTTGCGTACAAGTATAATCCAGACTCTCAAGTCTGAATTGGCAAATATAAAGAATAAATTGTTTTCAAAGGTCAGCAAACTTGAGTATTTGAAATCAGAAGATATATCTCGATCTGTGATTGGTAAAGATGACAAAAAAAATACGCAAAGTGAAAATAAAGTTTCATATTAAATCTCAATAATCTTAGTCAGTATCTAGTATATAGAAAAAAATATGAAAGATATCGAAAAAATCAATGATAGGAATAAAGTCTTATCCCACCATAGTGATACCCTCTCAGGCTTGCTTAGCAATAATATTTTGACTCATGATAATAATGAAATTATTCCTATACCCAAGGTAAGTAACTCAAGAAGTGAGGATGCTAATATATCTGAAACTAATAACAGCGAAACTAGTAAAGATATAAATTCTGATATATTATTGAGTATACCTGAGAATGTGACTTCACACCTTGCACAAGTTGAAAACTATACTTTCTCTCTGATTAAATCATATCCGCAGATTTCAATAGGAGAAATAGAAATAATACCTATTGTGACAAGTGATTTGATGGCACCATTATCAACATATGTATTACTTATCTTATTAATTATTGTAATTATATAGTATGTTATATTGAGATGTGAATGGAATATAAGTAAAAAAAGTGAGTGGTTGCGGGATATGTAAAACAGACTAATATAATTTTTATTTTTTTCATTATTTATTAATACAGAAATAAAATACATCCTATTCACCACTTCTTATATTAATGAGAAACTAATCGTATTCAGTTGATTTGGAATCAAAGTGAATATGAAAAATAATGAACTTAATATATTATATACACTAGGAATTTTTGGTGTTGAATAAAACTCACCTTCTCAGTTTATAACCTCGAAGCCAGAAAATAATTGTCTATCTATTTTTGTGAATATATAATTACTATATAACTGTCTTTAACAAATTGACCATGAACGTAGTAGATTGTCAGAGATAAAAGTTTAGATAAATAGATTACTCGAATAAATAAATGTATATATTATACATTGTTAATTTGACACATTTCTTCATGAATGCTTCATAATAGTTTGTAATGCTAAGCAGGTTCTATAGCACACATACTTTCAGATCTGTAGAAATACTCTAATTATTTCTGTTGTATGATCTTTGTAACTCGAATATTTTTTGCAATCTCTCTTATACGTTTAACTCTTTTAATGGCCACTGGTCGAAAATTGATAAATAATACACATATCAGATACCTGATATATGCATGGTACGTCCTTAATATCAGACATATATCAGGTACTCGATATATACCCGATATTAGAGACGTACCATACATATATCGAGTACTCGATATGTGTATTATTTATCAATTTTCGATCAGTAGACATTTTACATTTACAATTTATAATAACGAATCGCTTCTTTTTCAAAATAGGAATTACTAAGATTAGCTTCAGGTTTGTTTTTAAGTTCCATATAGTCTTTATAATTAATATCGTAATAAGCGTTCTCTGTACAATTTGTGTCCCAATGCTTATTCATAAAATGACAAAATTCATACTCATATTTATGTCTTATTTTAGAATAAACAAGTTTATTACAAGAATAACAGATTGCTATACTTATATCTACGGAATAACTAAGATCACCTTCCCATAAGTATTTCATTTTTCTAGCAATGATATATCGTTTCATTCCATCAGTCAAGTGATCACTATTTTTATAATTCATCAACTAATCTCAAATTCATTTTTTCAATCAGATAGAGTTTCATTCTTATGAATTACTGGTAATAGACAATAATTTCTCTATTCAGTATTACTTAAAACTGGATATTTATCTGTATAAACCATATTTAATAATTAAGTAACTTATAGTGTTTTTTTAGAGTTTGTGATTTATATCAAATTTAAGAATTTAGACCTGTTAAATTTTATTAACTATATATTCTAGAATATGCAATTCAATTTTAGTACGATTGGATTCTCAAACTATTTCTTTAAGAATGTTGTATTTTGCAAGGAATAGATGTCGATAACGAATTGTTATTTTCTATTTGTTGATATCTATAGGTAAAACCTGGTGTTAAAAATATATATATCTTTAGAGTTATAAAGAGTTTTAGTTATTATATTAATAATGTAATTTATCAGATCATCAATTCAAATAGCAAGGCTAAGTTCTATGCTGAGTAATAAATTTTGCACATGTTGAAAGTACAAAGTATTTAAATTATAAACAAGATATATATTTGTTATGATAAAATTTATATGTGTCTTGATGCTAACTCTATTATTATTTTTGTGATATGATGGGTATAGAAAAGTAAAGTATCTTGAGTTTGGGTATTGATATTTATAACAGAACTAATATCTCTGACACATATAAAATCACTTGTATAGATATTAACTAGTTATGAGATTTTTAACATAAATAGATGTTGATAATGAATTATTTCGGATATAGATAATTTAGCTTAAGGTAGTATGAAGTACTAAAGAAATACATGTATTTTATATGTCTTTACTGAGGACAATTACTTTGTAGTAATATTTATATATAAATTACTTGTGTATGTATTATTCAATCACTTATAATAATTGAATAAACATATGAAATACATTTCCGTAAGATCTATTTCAGTATGAGAGATTTATTTTGAGTGTATTACGAATATATGATTTAATTTTTTGGCAATTGGAATGTATGACATCCACCATTTGAAATCGCCCAGTTCGAGATAAACAAATTCGAGATGTGCAATTTTCCTTTATGTTCTTATAATATAGATGCAATATAGGTACAATGAAAGCACGGTGAAGGTGTGATTAAGGTGCGATGTAGTCATAATAAACTTTTTTCATATATAATTGTATGGAAAATAAGTGTATCTCAATTTAGTGACAACTATTTTGTGAATAGTAAAACTAGTGACTGAATTTTTTTCATAATACATCATATAATTTCAACAACAGGTTGTTGCTGAAATTTGATCATGTAATTGTTTTTATATAAAGTTATCATATGTCATGTATTATGGAAATTTGTTATAATTGTTTCATCACTCTGTTTATTAAATATTACTTTTCCTAATATGAGCCAACAAAAGAAAAAACTGTATGGTTTCGATGGCAAATATATGTTTTCTGAAACTAATGTGACTTTCTACATTTACTCATCAATATTAACCAAATTTTTAACCTTTAAGTCATATTTCACATGGACATCAGAGCATAACGTTGATTTATCTCTGTCAGAGTTTATTTGTTTAAACATTAACTTCGTAATTAGATTCTCAGAAAAAAATGACTCTGTAGTATTGTATTGTACATAAAAAAAATGTTTTATCTCAGCTGTAAAAATTTTAGACATCAAGGGAAATATTCAACCCTCTCAATTTTAAGGAGCTTGCACCAGTTTTGTCCTAACTGCAAGCATGAGTTTCATCCTTACCCTAGTGATAGTATTAAAAGCTCTAGTTAGTTTTGCCCTAATCTGCGAGTATGAGTTTTACCCTCATCCCTTACTATTGCGAATCTTGTAAACTAGTTATTAGGAAAATATATTATAACAGTTTGAGAACTGTGAAACTATAATAACAATTTTTAAACCTATAAAATATAAGTGATCAAAGACAAATCTAATTGGTCTTATGTTACTGAAAAAATACATAAGGTAGGTTACAAAATTCCTTAGTTACTCTTGATCAACTTTCCTGTAATTTAAATATGTTAACATATTGCAGATCTAAATTTCAGAAAGTCATTGTAAAAAAATTTATATTATGTATTCAAACAAGAGCGAGTATGTTGGAAATGAGTTGTTGAAAGTTTAGGAAAAATCAGAACTGGATACAAGTAACTTTGCTGATGCAAAAACTACTCACATTTTTTGACTTACGAAATGACTTCTAGATGTTACAAAAGAGAATCCCCAAAACAGTTGGCAAAGGTTAGTACTGTGAATTCAAATCCATTGAGAATTTGTTTGTTTATAATTTTACGAATTTTCATTTCTAGTAAATAGTGAAAGATGATTCCAACAATTTTTTTATTATATCTGGAACACTTGATGAACTTGTTATATTTGGAACATCCGATGGAAACAATTCAAACAAATCCTATCACTTCAGTTCGGATGAGCTAGATTATGATACTTTTGTTGAAATAAAAAAGAAAATCAACTATACTTATGATTGGTTTACGAGACCAGGAATTAAGAAATCTTTATTAAGTGAGAATGCAAAAAGATAACATTTAAACTTTTATTTAGGTTTATTTAAAAAAGATTTTAATTCTTCCTTATAAATATAATAGGTTACCAATACACTGATGTTTCAAGTTTATTGTTAGAATATCGTGATATGTTTGTTCAACGAGCTTCTGAAAATAAGATTTAAAAGGTTACTAAAATACTATAAGTTCTAAATTTTCAAATCTTTTATATATTCAATTGTGTTCTTTTTTTAAAATGCTTCTCATTATTATTGTAGTTCATTGAATTATATATTTTTATTTGAACAAAATGTGACAATTGAAATTTCTTCAATAATCGAACCAGAATCATTAAATATTATTTTCGATACTATCAAAAATGAATTTGTTCCATATCATTTATCAAATGATAATGTTTTATAGTGTCATAAAATAACACAGGTATGACTTTTCTGATATGGTCTTAATATGGTAATTATTCATAATAATGTATTTATTAAATAGATTGCAAGCGAAGATTTTAGAAAATACAAGCCATTATTGAGAAAATGGCAAAAGGATCTTGACGATAATCAAGAAGATTTAATTCTAGAAATGTTTGAGTCAATGTGAATATCTGTAAGGCTTAAGAATTGTTTATCGCTACTTATTTAGCATAATATAGTTTCTATATTATAGAATAAATAATTTTAAACTGGAAGTGTACAGGCAAGGTTTAAAAGAAGATTTCTTTGTACATGAAGTTTTTGAACCTGTGATCAGGTCATTTTTCCACAACATTAATTTTAAATGTGAATGATAATTTTTTGATAATTTTTTTTTTTTATCTTATATTGTAATTATAATGATTTATTAAAATGTTATTGAATTATTTTCAAGTTAACTAATATCTTGAAAGTATCTGTACATAGGAAATGTAAATTTGACCTTATATTACAAGAACAAAAAGTTGATTTTTCAGTATATTTACCTATTAAAGGTAATAAATTCTATTTGTTGACTTCGAAAATAAAATCTCTTTGGAAGACTGTGATTTTGTAAAATTAGGTAATGAAATGAAGGATATAATTGACAAATGTATTGATGATGGAGTAAAAAGTAATGATTTAATAATTTATAACTTATTGATAGAAGGTAAGTTATTAATATTTCTTAAAATAACATTAATGTCTATAATCTAATTTACATTTTCCTGCATTCTTGCAACTAGGTTTTCAATGTCATTTATTTGTTATAGATTTAAAATATGAAGTCATATATCGGATGATTCTTTTGAAAAAAAATTTATCTCCCTTAAGATACATCAGTAATTATATTAATTCGAAAACCTTCGAAATTATATCGCAACGTTAGATTTCGAAGGTTATCAATTGTGTCG